TATATATATATATATATATATATATATGGTTGTCGAGTTTCAGAGGCATTCCTTCGATTGCATCAAAGCAGTGAATTGCTTTCCCCTTCCTTCGACCGTGCCGAGTGGTGTCTACCGGTTTCCGCAGCTGCTCTTTCTCCCTCTCCGCACTGCATGTTTGCAGGTGTTCTCAGGAAAGTTGAGCGACAACAGGTGAAAGCATTAGAGCACCAACTCGGGCTCGAGATCGTACAAGTACATGGAGAGGCCAACCTACAAGACATTGAAATTGGCTGCCACATGGACCATATATTAAAAAGTTGCACCTTTTCTAAAAGGTCTCTTCTTTGCAGCTACTACTACTTTTTACTTGATGAATGCTTCTAGCTGAACTTGTTCATAAGAATATTAGGTATAGCGAGTCTGGAACATATGCTGCTTGAGATAGAGAATGGAGATGAGGAATGGTACCCAGGAAAGGAGGAAAGAAACAGCATGCATGTGAAGGCCAAGAAGGTGAGGAAGAAAACAAGGTGTGGGGAAAGGGGTTCTGTCTTTGGTTTTTGGTTAGTAATATCCTTGCTGCTGACACCGGAAGGCAACCTTTAGCCAGCCAGTACCCCACTTTGGCCTCACAGGAAAAAGTCTTCTTGCATTTGAGATAAGAGAAGCATGTGATCCACTGTCACTTCCTATCCTACAGACTTTTATGATGATGGTGCAACTGCAAGGTCTCGTTCAGAATTCTGTAAGCTTATTCTAAACTCAAACCTTTTCTTTTCTCTTTTTCTTTGGTGGGGAGCTGGAAATTACCTTTACAGTTTAGGCTGAATGCTGGAAGAACTCACTAAACTCAGTAGATAACATTGTCGAGAAGTAATTAGCATGCACAATCCACCCAAAGCTGCTGCTAAACACACATGCTGGCAGCTGTTTCCAAAAGAATCTTGATCATCATGTGATCCTACATCCTGTAAACGACTGTCACAGAAATCCAATAGGAGGCCCGAGTTCTCCCTTCTCACTCTGTAAATCTTGAACTCTTGTGGTGAGATGCCACCACCTTATGGCTTTAGCATGTTGTCCAGATCTGAAGGGAGGGTATCAAGAACAGTGAGAGACTGAGTTCAAGCAGGCCATTTCTGTAGAAAAGAACATGCACTAGGGGTGTGTACATCAAAACTTACTTCAGGTAACAGAAAGATTCTTCTTGATAGATAGAGAGCAGCAGTAGTCGGATTGTTAGGCATGGAAAGTCAATGGAAAGGGATGTTAAGGGCTTCATATTACAGATCATAAGACATGGCATGGTGCTCTCCTCAGGGAATCAGGGTAGGGTGGGTGGGTCAGTGCACTCACAAGCACACACATCTCTGAGGATGAGTATTGAGTGTTTTCTAAAACCCAAGAACATCAATTTTTCTTAAATATTACATGCATTAATTTGTCTTAACACATAGATTTCGGCATACGATCATGTAAGTCAAATGCCAAAAATATGGAAAAAAAGATTGATGGCATAATTCATGATGACCAGTGCAAACTAATGAGGGGAATGTGTTTTCTGATTTGAAGAATACACAGTCCAATGGCTGCAAAAGATCAAGAACCTATATAATCTATCCTGAGAGCAATGTGCTGGAATAGGATTTCTCAGCCTCAGTGGAAGGCTATGTGTGGAGCTGAACTTTTCATATGGAAAGGTCAGGAGTGATGTGTTCTTGGGGAGGACCAATGCAAACTTGTCTAAATCTCATGAGCAAATGCTGCTGACATTGTCCTGTGGCATTTGGCTCCATGTGGGAGCACACTGACCAAGTGTTGTTGCATAGGCCTGGAAGCTTGCCAGTAGGGACATGCTGTATGTAGACCAGTTTGCTCAAGAAACAGAGGGCTCCTTGAAGGTTTCTCAAGTGTAGGTTTCTGAAAGTGTTGTTCATGGGCTGTGTGGAGGATGATTAGCTCCCTTGTCTTCACTGCAATGACCATCCATCAGCTGAGAACAGGGTAGGATGCAGAACCTTTTTTAGGAGAGGAGGCCAAGAAACTTTAGGTTTTAAAAAGACCAAGATTATTACCTAATTAAAAACTTGATTTTCATGCAAGAACTTTTTTTCTGTGAGTTAATAAATCAATGGACAGTGAGCTCAAGCCAGTAAGGTCACTTTTTTGAGGGAAAGATTGGGTGTAGCTGATGTTTTTAGCAATAAAATTAAACAGTTCATGCAATAAGAAGGGTAGGAGAATCTTCCCTACTAAAAGAAAAAAAAGGAAAGGAAGAAAACTAATTCAGCAGCTTCCATCTATCTATATAATTACATGTAAAGTTTACCTCTAGCTTAGAAACACATCTTCCAACCTAGTGAGATTACTCAAACAAATTCATAGTATATTCCAAGCTTAAAAAGTTCAAAAAATGAAGTGTAATCCTATCTAGTTCAGGTTAGATTTATTTAGATCCTCTATCATTTGCAGTAAAAATTAAACACAGGAAACTATATTGCAAAAAAGAAATCATAGCTTCAATGCACAAATTTTGAATGTGGATTGCTCGATCCTCTGTCATTTGCAGTAAAAATTAACCACAGGAATCTATATTGCAAAAAAAGTAATCATAGCTTCAATGCACAAATTTTGAATGTGGATTGCTTGATCCTCTATCATTTGCAGTAAAAATTAAACACGGGAATCTATATTGCAAAAAAAAGAAATCATAGCTTCAATGCACAAATTTTGAATGTGGATTGCTCCCCCTCTCTCTTCCCACCAAATAAAAATGAAACCAATGCATAAACATTGAATAGTTATAAGCTTCTATATGATCAAATACATGCTTTTTTTATTTATGTATTACTTATGAGATCATAGACAAAAACTCTTAAGAAACAGGCACTTGTTGTAAGATTTGGCACAGCACAAGGACTGGAAGACCCATGTTTAGGACAGATTCATACAAGGGAGATGTCACATTCAAGTTCCAGTTACAAGAAGGTCCATAACTTCTCTTTTGGTTACAGTACTATTCATCCACACCATGGAAAACTGAAGGAATCAAACATGGGGGACCATGTACCAAAATATGAAGATAACATGCAGGTGGGTCGCTATTTGATCTCATTGGAAGCCTAGATTTCACAGTGCAGATATTGTTTCTGATCCTCAGCTCCATATCCCCACATGGTTTAGAGGTGTTCTTCATCCACACCAAAGATGGCTTTTGCCAGAGAAATTTAGCATACTGATGCATTCAAACCAATAAACTTTAGGAGCAGTGGTTAGGAAGTCTTATCAGCCTGTAGATGTTGGGTAGCAAGGAATCTAAAGAAAGAAACACTTGTACAACTCCAACCAAGAAGTAGCTGGATGAGGTACACAATAGTGAAGTGATAAAAAAAAAAGGTTCATCACAGATGATTAAGAACACATCCCGAGTACATATAGTTTAACAAGGTCAAGAGAACTCACGTTGAGATTTCCCACCATGACACGCATGTCTAGACTGGCATGTTATCTTCTTCTGACTTCTAGGAGCAGCAGCAGTGAGATAGCAGCATCAGCTTTCTGGATCTCTCATGTGAGCACGAGAGATCATCCTGAGAGTGCTACAAGAACGATAGGGTGGACAACGTTGATGCACTGCCTCATTGTTTGGTTGACTATTGAAGCTAATCCTCGTGAAGCAGCAGCTATTTTTTAGATCAAGAACTTCTCGAGTTCCATGAGGATGGTCAAATAAAGCCACACACAAAGTGGTATGGATTCACACCTCTTCATGAGACTGGTTGCCAAACTATTCTTTCAGTATCTTTTCCTCCAAATTGTATTGGACATTTGTTTAGAGGGTGTCCAACAGTTGTGCATGGGCTGCTACTGCTACTACCCATGGCAGGAAGGACGTGTTTGAATGTGGCCTTGGCAAGTCATTATTTGCCTGTAGTACTTCAAACAACAACTCTCTCTATTTGTGATCATCGACATGCGTTCTGTAATGGTTAACGCTACTGTATCTCATTAGAAATATCATAAAAACTTGGAAAAGAATGTTTATGAAGACATCCCTAAGTCCAGGTTTTTAGATTTAACTAAGCCATACTAACGAATCACATATGTCTAAGAGCCTACAAGATACAGTGGCAGCGAAATTGCAACAAGATAAGGTCCATCAAATGATACCTCTTATATAACTATCATCTCTACTGACTTCCAAGATTCATAATCTCTTATGAAATTATATGTTGACACTGCTTAAAGTGCAGTCTGCTTTCAATGTCAATAGCCAACCGCAAAGGGCAAAGGGCAAAGGCTCCATTCGATTATCTTTCTTGAAGTTAAAAAGAAATTAGAAGAACAGCACAAATAAGAACAGTTCTGCATATCAGACTCACTTCTAATTTCACATAAGATATATCAACCCATCAATAGTCTTGTATTCCAGGACACCCATAGAAAGAAAAAGAAAAACCGACAGAAGCAACTGATACCTGCAATATAACATTTAGAGCCTTCGAAAGGGCAGGCTTCAAATCCGCTGGATGTAATGCCCCACTCTCACAGTCCAATATTAATTCTTCCATGTTGTTGTACATCCTTCTGAAAAAACATAAAAACGACAACATAATTTGCAACAGTTCTAAATGGAACAAAAGAAACTAGATCATCATTAATACTTCAGCTGAACGACAAAAAAAGGGGAAAAAAATTTGCAGAGCTTTCAAATGAGATAATAGGAGACCTAGACACATGAGCACTGGAAGGAGACCAAGTATGTGTCAAAAAGGAAAACACAAGCCATGCTTTTGTACATGCAGTTATAATATTCAGCACCAAGTTTACAATTTATTTGACTATGGATTTTTAACAATGAATAACAAATTTAAAGGGGCATTTGCATTTGCTAGACAAATTTGTTGCAGAACATTAGTGAATTCTTCCTAGATTTCAAAGGGGCATTTTAGTTAATCTTGACAGAGCTCACTTGGTTCCACCATTTTCCACTTGTTGCACAACTTCAAAATAGCCAAACCATGGGAAAACAATGTACTTAATGTACTCCAGGCATGGGTTCCCTTCCACAATCTTTGGTGGGCAGTAAGCCTTTTTTATCTTCACATTTGCATCAGCCTACGAGAGAAACTGACTGTTATTGCAAGCTTGATGCAAAACTTAGGCAAAGGACTTACAGGAACTTAAGCAACATTCATATATAATAAGATTAATTAATTAAACAACGAGGGTAAAACATAAGTCCAGGCCTTGTAACATTAAAAAAGTAGTAGCGGCAAAAAGTGATGCTAAACACAGCACCAACAATAACAAGCATTCAGTATAGGGGTTTGCTTAGCTCCCCAAAAATTTTGTAAGCCAATTGGTTTCAGGTAAGGTAACTACTATGACATGACAATTTAAGGAAAAAGAACAATCACTGTGATAAACTAGAAAGAAAGGGAAAGCTAATACAATACAAGACTCACCATCACTACAAATTTCCACCCAAGATCCCCAGAAAATCTTCATACTGTATAATGTCACAGTGAATTTATATAGATAGTTAATCTCAATATAGCAACAACTTGAATGATTTTACTTCAACATAACAATGGAATTGAAAAAGAATGTTCCAATGACAAGAATCAAATCACATTATATTCTTGGTTATATAGTTGCTAAAACATATAATCCTCTCCATAGTACCGGATTTCATGCTACCATTGATGTGCTACCTTTGTCAATTCACAAAACAACGTGATGCTTTCATCAAATGAAACAAAAGATGGTTTGTAATTATGCTCATTCCATTTCCAAGCTCGATGAAGATGCACTGGATCCCAAGGCTTAAAATTTTTTGCATTTAAAAACATATACCTCTGCACCCTCCATCAAAATGGAAGAGGATGGATCACTTTGTGACATTTTCTCCTGTCCCTCATGCAATCTAGGAAGCATGTCTGCATCATCCAAAGTAAATTGTCAGTAAATATCATATTGATAGCCATCTACATACTTTCCATAAATATTTATGCATAAAGAGATAGTAGTATACGATGTGACAAAATGTTGGGCTTTATTTTTTCCTTTTGATGGCATCACAGTATTCTCTTGCAAGCACATTCACTTTCCTCTGATCCATGCCTAGCTGGCAGATGTCAACCTGCAAAAGTGTTATTTAAAAGCAAGCTGAGTAACATGTAAATAGAACTTAATTTGACATGGCACATGGAAGAAAAGAAGAAACAAAAAAGATTACACAGAGATCAAGAAACAACCAATCCAGTATAGGAAAGAAAGCCTATGAGGAAAAATATGCCAGCACATTGCATGCATGGATGCAAAATCTGAGTTGCAGTCAACTCATCTTTTTTTCACAGTCAACTCATCTGACTGCACCTGGACACAATTAGATCTTACAATTAGTGATCAGCTTCATGATAACATTATCCTCTCAAGTTTAAACATCATCTAGAAATCATAAACAAACATGTACGGATATAGCATACCTTATTATCCGCTGAAGTGTATTCCTTTGAGCTATATCCATTACAAGAGACCAATACTTATGCGCCCACCTATTAATTTCTTAATTTCTTCTGAAGACCACAAAAATTCCACCCTGTCGAGCTTCATTCCAACAGCTTTTCAGATCTCATTGAGACATCGACCAACTGTTTGAATTTTCTTCAAATCACCTCCCATCTTGTTATTCAGTTGGCAATCCATATTTTCACAGTGCACCCAGCTGAAGTCAGCTTGTTCACATTGATCGCCTTCATAACTCCCTGTCCATGATTGAATATCCCTTATGTTGCACTAAGTTGTAAAACGTATGAAATATTCAATCTATTTAACAAACTCTAAAGACATAACATCTGGTAATCACAACATGCAGCGTAATAAGATGAATGTTTAGGCTGCATGTAATACACATTATCTAATTAACTACAACACAATATGGTGCAAAGAAAAACCATCAAGCCAGATCTCAGCAAACAGTTTGCAGAACACAAAAACACGGAGTAACAGCTACCAGCAGAAGATAACCCAAGCAGACTACAAAACAAATTAAAAGCTTTTCTTCAGCTGCAAACCACCAATGCACTCAAAAGTCAGGTTCGATGCCTCCAAAGTCAGGACGATATCAAAAAGTAGTCATATAGCATCCAACCGGTTGCGATCACAAGAAAGGGAGACGAGTTCGAACCTGAGCGATGTGCATCCTCCCAGACGGTTTGAATCCATCATAGCAGACAGGAACCGTCTTCTTTACATGAAGGTTCATCAATTCCCCCTCCTGCAATGCATTCCTCCCCCACGCTCCTCACCAGCGCGAACCGCTCGTCCACCGTCAACCTGCGTCAACAGACAAATTCCACTCGATCAAAATACCGACTCGAAGAACTCGACACGAAGAATTTCAAAGGTTAGGGTACCCACGGGGCCGCAGCAGGCGGAGGCACCGAGGGCGAAGCATCGAGAGACGGTTCCGACGTCGGGAGAGGGATCGGCAGCCTCTGGTGCTCCCGCCATCATGGTTCGCGAGTTCGAAAAGGGCTTGGGGCTGCGGGCTTGCTCTGCAGTTAGGGTTTTGCGGGTCTCTCCTCTCCGTGTTCTGGGCCAAGACGCTTTCTTGTCCAGACTCAGCCCAGCCCATTTATTTTTCGCAAATCATTAAAAATAACGAATATATATATATATATATATATATATATATATATATATATATATATATATGTATGTATGTATGTATGTATGTATGTATGTATATAATCAAAATTGAAAGTTGAGGTTGGAGAAAAAACACTATCAATTGTATCCGAATCAAACTCTTAATTATAAATTATTACGATAGAGGTTGATCGATAGATGGAAGTTTGTTCAATCAAATAAAACAATACGTTCTGTGTTTGTTCAATCACTTATTGTAATGCGAGTTTATCGTTCCACTATCGAAAGACAGATTTTCAACCTCGACTTATTATTATTATTATTATTATTATTATTATTATTATTATTATTATTACATATAAGCCTCCAATTAATATCCATCCAAATATATTAATTAACACATAAAAATATAATTAAATTAGTTTATTATATATATGCATGAAAATATTAAAAATAAGCAAATTAATATTATTTTCAAAGAACAAAACGATACCTTGAAATGGAGTGTGCACCAAGTTGTCTGCCCCTTTGAAATTTAATGTCATGAGAAGATTACGTGCTCTTGATATGATTGCCACAAGACTTGTGTACCAAAGTCAAAGGAGTGTCGAGGCACTAAGATTAAAATGCCACGCTTGACTTCACAATTCTCTGTCGACACTCAAATCAAACCCTGCAGAAGCTTCAATAAGACAAAGTGACACCATCGGGAATGTGGAAGAATTCTTTCATAGGGCACAGAAATTCCAATTCATCATCAAGGGGTGGACATTTTGACCTTGGAAGAATGACACTGTCAAACACTGCATCAGGCAGGGATAAAAAAAATGATAATAGAATCAGTAATCTAAATCACCACTTTAATGCTTTTGGTTGATGTTTGTGTTGAGTGAGTCAGCCACAGGATCTTATGACTAATTGACATGGACAAGCTGACAGCAACAACGTTTGACTTTTCTTAGAGAGAGAACAATCAGGCGATTTGAAGTATTTCCTTATGATCACAAAGTCTGTTAAGAAATGAAGTATGATTGGTGGACTTAATTTCTCTTAAACGTATTTATCGTGAATCAAGTCGATTTTGATATGTTTTTTCTCTTCCTAAGTAATCGGTCAACTTGAATAGCAGCCGACGACTTCGCCTGCATTATCGTTTTAAGGATTACATCATGTTTTTGTCGGGTCAACTCAATCATGGAATAAGACAGAAAGCAGCACTCGCATTATTTATGAGTCGAGTCTTTAAACGTTAATTAAAACCCTCTCTTATTGATCAGAAAAGAAACAGAGCAGCCAAGATTTAATACCGAGAATTGTGGAATTTGACTATCGATCGTAGTCTTGATAAACATTTCTTCTTAATTGGAATTTATTGTGTTCGTCAACCATTGCCGTTCTTGTCGAAACCTGTTTGTATTCAGGATATGATTGGAAGCAACAAGAGGAGCAGAGTCTGATTTTTGTTGATTTTTAAGCTTCTAATGTGAATCACTTGGTTTTAAGACATGTGGATTGACGACTGTTCTTAGTCTTCGCCGTGGATATTGGATGGCGCGGAACACCGGAATTGACCAAAAGATCCATCTTTCTTTTACCCTTTCTGTTTCTCGGGTGATCTGTTTGTTGTTTGCAGTAAGAAACAGAGTATCTATGAGTAGATTTGGCAGCGCCGCAATTTCGGTGGCACGGAGGGGTATTTTGGAGACCGAATGGGCCGGCTCCACCACAACTTCCCTGCCCACGGTCGTCTCCTTCCGCCCCTGGTTAAGAAGCAGCTTCCCACCTTGTTCCTATGTTTCTTCCACCGATTAGTTCGCGGAGAAGCTACATAGAGAGGAAAGTCTGAATCTTTTGGCTCTCCGTTCCTTCTTCTTCGTCTTCCTTTGATATCCATTTCTTGGAAAGCCTCTACCTTTTCGATAGAGGCCATGGGCAATTGCTTGGGCTCGTCGTCCGGTGTAGAGACTTCACGGAACGCTTCTTGTGAGTGTCGAGTTTGTCCTTCGAGATTGCTTTCCTATCTGGGTTTCGGATTTGCTTTGGACTGAGGGGATGAAGGTTCAGGGTTTTGCGTTATGTGCTTTGTTGTTTAGCTTCTTTTGTTGCTATTTTCTTAGACTTCTATGTTGGGCGATCCTTTTCTGGATTATTGTTGTTGCGTTCTTTCTATCTTTTCTGCTCTTTGGATAAGAGATTTGTTTACACTTGTACTGTAGAGTTTGCACTTTACTCGAATCCTCTCTAGAGAAGATCATATGTACTCTGGGTGAGTATTAAGCTGTTACATAAATCATGATCTTGTTTCCTATACTGCCTTCTGCTCCTGTTACATAGTCTTTATGATCATTCTGCTTAGCTATGTGCCTAGATGCATATGACAATTGTATTTCTAGGTATTATCGGGGATTAGACTTCATTTCTTGTGGTTATGTTCCTAGTGGCTTTCTAGGTTGCACAGAAAACATGTTATGCTGGATGTTAGGAGAAAAAAATGGATAAAGTTAGTGTCTTTGGGATACATGTATTCGAAATGATCAAACTTGAATTGTTTGTGGTCACCGATGTCGATAATATATACCGGTCATGTCTAATGCTGTAATCGTGTGCTTACTTTTGAGATATGTTGCTCTTCATCATTTCTTATGTGTTCTTCCCCCTCATTAAATAGATGCTTCAGGGACTTCTACCAGCAAAACAAGCTTGTCTTCATTTCCATCCACTCTGACATGTTCCACTCCATCAAATCTTTCTGCGCCTCACTACAAAGAACATACTGCTAGCGGGGCTCTTCCCACACCAAGAACTGAAAGGGAGATCTTGTCTTCTGCAAATTTGAAGGATTTCACATTCAGCGATCTAAAAAGTGCTACCAGAAACTTTCGTGCTGACAGTCTTATCGGGGAAGGAGGATTTGGTTGTGTCTACAAAGGTTGGATTGATGAACAAAGTCTTGCGCCCTCAAGGCCTGGATCAGGAGTGGTGGTTGCCATCAAGAAACTTAAACCCGAGGGATTCCAGGGCCACAAGGAATGGCTGGTATGATCTTGCAAATATACTGCACTAGAATTCTTCTTTCTTAATGTCCACTCTACATGTTCCTGGTTTTTGACGTTTTTAACAATTGATTGTAGACAGAGGTTAACTATCTTGGTCAGCTTCACCATCCAAACTTGGTCAAGCTGATTGGCTACTGTTCGGAGGGTGATAATCGACTTCTGGTCTATGAATTGATGCCAAAAGGCAGCTTGGAGAGTCATCTTTTCAGAAGTACGTGTTGAGGAAACAATAATATATTTAGCATTGTTTATTTTCAGGGATATGAACCCTTGTTTAAGTTAGACAAAGAAACCTGAACCCACATTTAAGACAAATTAAATTACAATTCTCTGGGTATTCATGTGTCTCAATTCTGTATCTGTTTCCATGTAAGTCTATTCGATAGATTGGAAAGCATTCATAATCTGTACCTGTGTATCCTGAAAAAGCTCCCATAGGCCAGTGGTTGTAAATGTATCTTTTACGCATGTATGTACCTGACTATCTTCCTTATTGGGATGCTTGGCACTCAGAACTTTGTTGACACTGGTTTCATGCTTGCCTGTTACAGGAAGTGTTGAGACTCTACCTTGGGCAACTAGGATCAAGGTTGCAATCGGAGCTGCTAGGGGACTCTCATTTTTGAATGATGAGTGTCAAATTATATACCGGGATCTTAAGGCTTCTAACATTCTTCTTGACACGGTATGTACCGGAGATGAGAGCTTGGAAAATTCATTATAGAGATCGGCTTACGAACTTACGACTTATTTTGCTTTCCTAACAATGCAGGATTTTAATGTGAAGCTTTCAGACTTTGGCTTGGCAAAAGATGGACCAACTGGGGATAGGACCCATGTCTCAACACAAGTCATGGGAACTTACGGATACGCAGCTCCAGAATATATCGCAACAGGTTCCCCAATTGTTGATTTTGTATATTAGACCCTTTCTTGTTCATCTCTGTATCTCCATTCACGCTGCAGAAAATTTCCCTAAACTAAGCAGATTACTTCTTGCATGAGGTCCCCAGCAGACATGCTGGAATCCTGCTGATGATCAAGTTTGTTAACGACATCAAATTCTATTTTAAGTTCTCACTTCTCTAGCAAATGAATTACATGAAAGTATGTTTTGTGCTTTGGCTGAAAGTTAACAATGAATGCTTTTGTGAGGCTTAATGTGTAAATACAGTGCACCTGGTTGATTATCCACAGTTAAGAACCAAGATTTTCTTCTGAAACCTTCCCAGGTTGATTATTGCCGAGCATAAGAAATATGAATTGTTTTATTACCACTGCCAACAGCAAGACCATTGCTGAGATGTTACTCATCCTTTTTATCTATTTAAAAGTTATATGGTTCTAATGTTCTTAGGATCTTTTTCTTTTGTTTCTGAGAAGTCCTATATGAACTCTTATGTGTCCATTATTTAAATTTTACAGGTAGGCTCAATGCAAAAGCCGATGTCTACAGCTTCGGGGTTTTGTTATTAGAACTACTGACCGGACGCAGAGCTCTTGATAAAATAAGAGTTGCTGCAGAGCAGAACCTTGTGGATTGGACACGGCCTAGTTTGGGCGACAAGCGTAAACTGCATCGGATCATTGACCCAAGGCTAGAGGGTCGGTATCCAAAGAACGGAGCTCATGAATTTGCCAGCCTTGCTCTTCAGTGCATCAGAAATGATGCTAAACTCCGGCCTAATATGTCCGAGGTCTTGGCCGCTCTGGAGAAATTGCAGGACCCAAAATATGCTGCTTTGCCTCCACAATCTAATCAAAAGAAGAAGAGTTCCAATACCATGCCAAGGTCGCCTATGAGAAATCCCCGCCCACCGCTGCGCCCAACACCCAGTGGCTCTTCTCTTAAATCCTACCATGCATAAACAAAGGATGCAAATTTGGACTCGCACGATTGCACACTAGCTCGATGGTGACAACAGGTGATGATTCTTTGAAGGACATTAAGGCTGCTACAGCTACCAGAAGTCATTCTTTCTCATCCCATTTTGCGTCCATACATGTTGAACAAAGTTCATCGACATTCGTTTATCGTGTTGTGTATTTATCTGTAAAACTTGATTCACCTAGCATTTGTAATATGTAACAGAGAGTTGGCTTGCACTTTGAGTCTTACTTTTTGGAGTGGATTTTTTTTTTTCACTTTATGTGAATATTCTCATAAAATACAACTATGCGGTATTTTCTTCTCCAAATATATAGTGTACTTCAAGCAGGGTTTTTATTGGCAACCCATATCAACTCTATTTTCCAATTGAATTTTCATATAAGATTCTGAATAAGTGTTAATGAAATTTTATTTAAGATTTAGAATAATTTTCATATAATTGGATGCTTTATAAGATTGAAAAAGGGGAAAAATAATACCTTTTTTTATTAGGCTTATCTAAAACTTAATTCTTTCTAAAGCTAATAGGATTTATTGAACCAAATTAAATCATAATTGGTTAAATTAGGGCTGACTTGGATCAGGTTTCGGTAACGGTATAAACTGACACTTCGGTTTGTCTTGGGTCGGTCCGGGTGAGCGCCGCAGAAGGTAGGTCTTACCTTTTGTCTTTATTGATGAGTTAAATGGATCCGACGGAACATATAAATCGAACCCCCACGTTCCGATGGACCCGCGGAAAGGACATCCGCTACGTCGCCGCGGTCGCTTCGATTGGATCCTTCCTCTCTGTTCTTCCCTCGGGTAATCGTCGATCCCCAGATCGCCGGGTGTTGTTCCTCTTGTTCTTTCCATTGATCGAGAGAAGAATGATGAATCGATTCGAAGTTATTCACCAAACCCTTTTTTTTTATCGCAACAACCGGAGTCCTCTTTTCCCTTTCTTGATCGTATTTTCCTTTTTCCCTTTTAGGTTCCATTTTAGTAGCATTTTTGGCTTTATGGTGGTTTTCGCTTGTTTGAATATTTTGCTTGTTGTTGCATTGCAATCCATCTGCGAAGCTGAATTTAATGTGATTTTGGTTTAGATGGTAATCATATATCGATCGTTGTGGAGATTCGACCTTTCAGATTTTGAAGATGATTGAAGTCTGATTGGGTCTTTTACGTTGGAGAAGAATGGTGCTAGTTCTAGCAATCGGTGACCTTCACATCCCTCACCGGGCGCCGGATCTGCCCGCCAAATTTAAGCAAATGCTTGTGCCTGGGAAGATTCAACACATCTTGTGTGTTGGAAATCTGTGCATTGAGGTGCTTATTTTCCGCTTCCCTTTAAAGTAATATATGCTTTTTTAATGTACTTTAGTAAATGATGTCCATCGAAATGCCAATGGTTTGCATTTTTGTAATGTTAGGTAGCAGATTTTAGTAGGTGATTGATTTTTTCCAATTTCAATGGTTGAATATGTTGAGCAATATGTTTACATCACAACTGTAGGTTTCTTAGAATCTCACACATGAAAATTAATATTCTTGAGATTGACAAGTATGAGAAACTTTCATCTTGTAGGATGCGCATGATTACTTGAGAAGCCTTTGTCCTGACCTGCATTTTGCTCGAGGTGAATATGATGAGGATGCTCGTTATCCAGAAAGAAAGACTCACGATTGGTCAATTCAAGCTTGGGCTTTGCATGGCCATCAGTTTTTCTTTTTTTATTTGCTCTGGGACATTGACCATGTATCTTTCAGTATCCTACATTGGAATTCAAATCACAAATATTTTATGCATTGAATAAATTTTCTGCATTGTTTTTTAGAAGGAATTACTACATAGATTGATATTACATATGACTGAAGTATTATCTATTAAATCACCATAAACTGAATTCGCTAGAACATTGTAGAATAAAATGACAAATACGTTATGAAATTATGAGTTCCTTACCTGTTGATTAGATTTTTTCTTTTCTTCTGGCACTATTTATGGTCCTTATATTCGTTATACTCTTTTGTTGATATAATTAACATAAATCACTTTATGTTGCTTTGATTTTGAATTTTTTTTAACTTGATCTTATCGATACACTACTGGACACCTTATATCACTTGCATGATTCATTTCAATAGATCAATAGATATTGTCTGAATTTGTATAAAGAATTAAAGAGGTTGTTGATTGTTTTTCTCATTGCAGTGGCAATTCTGTATCTTGAAGATTTTGATATGTTGTTCCTTTTTTTGTATTAGGTTAAGCATCTAACCATGGCACTTGGTTAAGCTACTAATCTGGATGATCTTGGCATCTTGCAATATTCGATATATGCAAGTCTTCTTAGCATCTTGAAATTGTCTAGGACTAGTATACATGTGATCTTGGATTGGCATCATTACTGCCATGGACTCAATAATTTTCTCTTGTAAACCATGATATTCAAAAATGTCAAAATGTTTCTTCAGGTAATTTATTTTGATGTCAAGATCACGCAGACGATATTCTTTCAATTCTCAGTTCTCATTGTTGCTTTTTAACATTATCAAGTGGTTATTGGGTATTTCTTGATTTATGAGTATCATAGTCCCATGGGTGGAATTAAATTTGTCAATGCTTTTTCATAAAACTCAACCTTGATTCGGTTGACTGGTCATTCCCTGGGAGGTTTCCAACTTTGTTTTCTGCAGATGCAAACCCTTGCTATGATCCTGAATTTAGCAGAGAACAAATTTAAGTGTGGACTATGGGCTGGCATCATTATTGCCCAAGAATTCATTAAATTTCTCGTGCAAGTTATGGTATTTAAAGACTTCCCTGTAGGTTCCTTTAAGTAGCTGTTTTCATACACAGCTGAAGTTGATGTTAAATCAAGTCACTTGCAAACTTCTTTCAATTTCCGGTCATATTCATTTGTTAGATAGATATTTTTATCAGTCATCCATCTGTCACATTTATCATGTTGATTATACAGATCATCCCATAGAGTGACTTGGATTCTTTAGCCATGTTTCAGAGACAACTGGATGTAGATATCCTTGTGACCGGACACACTCGCCAGTTCAAGGCTTACAAGCACGAGGGTGGTGTTGTGATAAACCCTGGCTCGGCAACTGGAGCTCATGGCAGCATAACCTATGATGCGAACCCCAGATTTGTACTGCTGGACATTGATGGCCTTCGTGTTTTGATCTACATTTATGAGCTTATCGATGGCCAGGTGAAGGTCGACAAGATTGCAACTACTCTGCCTGCTCACTGATTCTCTGTAAATTGACAGCCTCCGTAATCTGATTTTGTTGCTTGATTGAGCTGAACCTTAAATCTGCATCTGGACGACATCTAATTGTTTTGAGAATTCTCCTTTCCTTGTCAAGCCTAATCTGTCTGCATCACACGTTTAATCGTCAGGATGCTAAATGTTGGTTCTTGGGGCCACCTCAGATCTCTCCTGCCGTGTATTCGAGGTAACATGTTTCTGATGGTTTTCCACTCACTCTGAACATTTTGCATCTATCTGCTGCTATCCCATTTGTATGATATAGCTGCCTTCCTGTTCTGCATTCTTAATGTAAAGGTATCAGCCTCAAATCGTACTTCTTTTGATTAAGGTAGGTTAGCATTCTGTGAAACATGAACAGGCTAGGATCAGTCGATCAGCTGCACAGGGCGATTGAGGGGACAGGGAAACCCGCTCAGATTCATTGTGTGTCCCACGACAGAAAGCTGCCACGTGTCTTGTTTGCCCAAATGTAGGCCACCACTCTTGTCCCTTCCGTGCGAGGATCAGCTATACTGAATTGAACAGGGAACAAGGAAATCGGGTCATTTGGGCCAAACCAAATGAACCCCACCTGACTTGTGCACCGCGTGAGGATCGGTTGTGTCGGTTGACACGGGAGACGGGAAAGATGATACGGTCCACCTCATCCATCACTCCTCGTCTCCTATATATTTGTACTGGCCCGTTCTTTCCCGGGCGAACCCATCTCAAATTCCCAGAGGGAAGAGAGAAGGGATCAGAGACGGCGAAAGGGGATCTGGATGAGGTGGCGAACACTGGCGTTCTCGGAGCCGGACGGGTCTCCGATCTGATCTCCCCCAACAAGAAGGTCGGATCTCGGATCACTGTTCTTTAGTTCACTTGGATTTTGAGCAGAATTGCTTTGGTTCGCTCTTTGTGGGATTCGATTCTGATGAGTTTTACCTCGTCCTGGTCGTTTTGTTCTTCTACGAGTTCGTCAAACGATTTCCATCTCATCTGGTTCCAGTGTATCATCTTCCAAATTTTCGTCTTCTATTTTTTCTTTTCCCCTCTCGATCTTACTCCCGATCTCCCCTTTTTTTAATTATAGGAATCAATTATTTTCATTTTTATTTGAAAACGTAATTCTATTTTTCAATCATGTTATCAACTTCGTTTTTTAAATATTCGAATGGCGCTATTCGTCTCTCCCCCTTCAAACTTAAAAGACGGTAATCAGGTCATTTCAAATCTTAGAAGCGGCATATCATCTTATGAAATCCATTTCAAAAGCGTATTATGGTCAATTTCATTTTGAGAGGTAAGCTGAACCGATGGAGCCGCATCGGGTGGGCGGTGGGGAGATCAGCGGCGGCGATCGGACGGTCAGCATCGACGCATCAGGATCATGGAATGAGCTGTCGTCGATCCGACGGCGGAGGCTCTCCTCCCCCTCGCCGAGCGCCTTCCTCACCCCCGCCTTCGACGCCTGCGCCACCGCCACCCTCAGCTCCTCCGGCATCGGCGGCGGCGCCGACAGCTCCCTCGACCTCGACCCCTCCCTACTCCGCTACACCCGCTTCCGGCCTCATCTCTCCCCTTCCGACTCATCCGATCTCAGGTCGACGTCGACGAGGCGGCGCCTCCTCCAACTCCGATCCTCCCTGAGCTCGTTTCCGTCTTCCTCGGCGGAGGGGGGCTGCTGCTTCGTCTCGCCGCTCTCCCCCATCGACAACCTCCCGCCGGGGAGGTCGCTTCCGGTGCACATGACGCCGCTCACGATGCAGGTGGGGGAGGACGTGGTGGTGATGGACGGGGTGCTGGTTAGCGACGCCGAGACTACCAGCCGGCGGAGTCTACACAGGACGGAGGCCTGCCGCGCCTGGGACGAGAACGGGATCTGCCGCTACGGTTCCAAATGCCAGGTAAGCTTCTAATACTGCCAGGTCCCTGCGGATATCAAAATGTCCGAGAACAGATGGAACTCGGAATAGTAGCAAAGATGGTAGTCTTTCAATCGGAG